AATTTTTTTTTCAACTAGTCATTTTATAAGCATAGAATACATATGTATTAGATTATAAAAATATGAAAAAGAAAAACCTAATAATAAAAAGTAATAATAACTGCAGAGTATCTATCCATGGAATTTATTTCATTTTATTACATAAATGATCAAAGAACATGGTATGCACTTTATAATTTCCAGAAGTCAATAAAAGAATAAAGAGGATTTACTGAAGTTTTATAAGGACAATATGACTAACTTGGTAAATGATTTTAGGGCCTTTAAAGGTCTATTTTATCTTTAAAGTTACAGAGATCGATATTTATCTTTTGGGAAAAGTATATTAGTTGTATTGTTGAGTGTGGGTTTTTATTTGGACTATAGAGATAATAGCATCCCTACCTCATAAGGTTGTTTTAAAGACTAAATATGTTAATATGTGAAAAGACCTCAGAATAGTCCCTGCACACAGTGAGCACCCCTAAAAGGTTGGTGGTTATCTTTATCATTGGTTTTAATATTTTTAGATTCTAGATACCCATATTGGCATTTTTCTGTCAAGACATGATAGAAGTATGTTTAAGCTCTTCAATATTATTCTGATAACTTATTCCTGCATTTCCAATAGATTTTGCTGTATATAATTTGAAATTCATAATTCTGTGATTATTGTGGCTCTCTGGATCAATTAAAAAGTTTTACACTTTTAACAAATCAAATTTTGACATTACACAATGATGATTTTTTGCTTTTGGGCCATAATAACCTGACATTCTTTGCCCACTTTTTCATGTCCACCCAGAATCATATTGCTAGCATGTCCACACAAACAGTAAAATTTAAGGTTTCCCCCTAGGCATGGAGTCTTATAACATAAGAAGGCAATACTAACATTCTCTTCTTCTTCTTCTTCTTTTTTTTTTTTTTGGTTGTAGTTGGACAGAATACCTTTTTATTTTACCTGTTTATTTCTATGTGGTGCTGAGGATTGAACCCAGGGCCTTGCACGTGCTAGGCGAGCACTCTACCGCTGAGCCACAATCCCAGCCCCTAATACCTACTTCTTTCCCAGTGAAATTAGTACTTTTTTTTTTCTACTCTTCTTCTAATTAGTACTTTTTTTTTTTTTACTCCTCTTCTCTCTACTATCTTTGAGGGGAGAAATCTAGTATTTTGTGGCTAGCATACTAATCAATTTTTTTTTTACTTTTACATTATGCACATTTTCTTTCAACTTGTGCCATTAGATTGTTTTACAGCCATCATTAACTTAATTACTTAGCACTAGATGAATATGTAACAGGAGGTACTGTTCATAACCAGCTCACTGGTATTCTCTCTGCCCCAGCAGCCAGCACGCTCCAGGGAAAAGGCAGTGTTGATAGGTGGAAACACCTGGCTGATTATGCTGAGAGAGGCAGGCATGTGTGTGGTGGGGGGTTGGGGGGGGCTCTCACCTTCTCAGAAACAACCTGTGCTAAGAAGCAGGAGGGAACCAGCATCCTGTGCTGATCCTATGCTGGCTGCCTCTCCCCAAAGCTCATGGCCAGTGCCACCTCCATTAACCCTCACCCCAGGATCCACAGCCCAACACTTCAGATAAGGAAAAGAGGTCAGGAGCTGGGCTGAAAGTCCTCCCAGCAGTTAGCAGAGGACATAGGTGGTGGGGGTGGGAGTGCTGCACGGAGCCTCCATCTTCTGTCCACCACACAGGGTTGGACTGAACACCTGCGTGGCAACCATTTCCGGCTTATTCAGCCCTTAGCGGGATGCGAGTAGGTGAGAGGAGGAGAAATGCAGAGTCTGAGCTAGCCTGTCCTCCCTCTTGTCCATCTGCACACTGCTGGGAACAGGCCACTGAAATGAACTCAAAGCATGATCGACCACTTTTATGATGGCTGGTGGGGAAGCCACCTGCTGACTGGGCGGGTTTGTTTGCTGGAGAATTCAGAGAGTTATTGGCCCCTCCCCTCACCCTCTCCAGGGACCAAAGGAAGTTTAATGGAGATGGAGATCTGTGAAGGACCCCAAAACTGATGAACAACATCAGACCAGAGTAAATCTGAGGATGAGTTCTGGGTGCCATCATCTAGAGACCAATCCTGAGCTGAGGTGTCTGTTAGTGGAGCGACTATGGGTGAGTTTCTCTGGTCTCAGGGTCCCCCCTCCTTTGCAGAGGTGATGAGGCCTGGTGGTATCAGGCACAGATGAAGCTGGTCCAGTCTGGGACCCTGGGGGCACTCACAGTGCCCTGTCTGTGTTTGCCCCCCCCCCTCAGAGTTTACTTTAGATACAAGGTGACAAAAGCAACAGGTGAGGATAACATGACAGAGTAATTAACCCCTTCAGGAGCTACTGGATCTTTGCAGCTGTTCCCCGTCACACTCCCCCAAAGATCAAAGGACAACACCTACCACTGGGTCCCACATGGCTCTGAAGTGCACTTGCAGACCACTCCCCACTCTGATCCTCCAGTGCCCCTTTCCTGGGAGACTATGTCCTGACATGCCTACTTGTACCTCCTGGCAGCTGGCGCTGGCCTTGTGGTCACTGTCTTGGTCACTGAGGCTGCTGGCTCTTGATTCACACCATCCTCTTCAGCATCTGCCAGTGTCTGGCCTCCTCACCTGTTTGGGGACTCATTCCACCCTCTTGCCACATGCCTCAATCTCTGTCTTGAGCCTGTCCCTTTCAAATCTTTTTTCCTGTCCCATAAAGTTTCCTTTCATACACAACTTGAATATCTGAAACAATAAACAAAAAAGTCGCCCTTGAATCCCCCTCTTCCCACAACCAGTCCATCAGGAGGCCATGCCAATGGCACCACTTTGATCTCTCTCCAACATGTCCACTTCCCTCTGTATCCACTGCCCCATCCTGGTCAGGGTCACCATCCTCCACTATGGACATCTACTCTGTCTCCTCCTCCTTCTTTGATCCCCTTCCAGTCCATGTTTCACACAATAGCAGAAATAGCTTCCTTGAAACATACACCAAGCCCCTCACTATGACCTGAAGGCCCTGTACCATCTGTCTCCAACCTAATTCTCCAGCTTTAGCTATGTCTAATGATACTTTTTTTTTCCTAGACCATTCTCATCAGTTACAGTTGTATACAAATTCTTTGCTACTTCTCTGCTAGTCCCTCACTCCCCACCAAGAAGCAGAGCATAATCCCTGTACCCTTGAATGTTGGCTGACCTTAAAGGACTTGCATGACCAACAGTGTGGCAAGTTACATTGCAATTTCCAAGGCCAGGTCAGAAGTCTTGGGGTTTTTATCCCAGTCCCCAGACTACTTCTCTGGGTGTCATGAGTCACCAAGTGGGAATTTCATCTACCTAGACTGTATTGCTAAGGCCACATACAGAAATCTGGGTCCCACTTAGCCCAGTCTTCCCTGCCAAGATGCCAGACCTGTGACTAAATGTACTTAGGATACTGCAGACAGGCCTTATGTGCCAACTCAATACCATCAGGCCTGTTCAAAAGACGTGCATCACAGTCATGTGGAGGGGTACCCAGCAGGTCCCCTTGGAAATTTCTGGTCCACAAAATTGTGAAATATGAAATACTACATTAAATATGTTATCAAGTTTTGGGATGGTGTGTCACGTTTCTCCCCGCGCCCCCCCCCCCCACCCCCTCACAGCCTTGACACATGCTTCTTGCTGGAAAACACTTCCTACCTATGTGATCACTTCCTTCTCTGAAATGTTCACCAAAGAGGACCCTTCCAAACAGCCCAAGTAAAAGTACTAAAATGGGACTATATCATAGCTTATTTATTTCCTTGTGAACGCTTAGCAAGTAAACAGGCACACATAAAGAAAATTTTTAATCTTACTTCCTCCTACAACAGATGTTTAGTAATCTATGGACCAGAGGCTAGCCAACTGCTTTTTTATTAGTGTCTTAATGGGCTACAGCAATACAAATATATTTATGCATCCTACAGATAATATTTTTGCTGTTGGTTATACTGGGGATTAAAACCATGGGTACTCTATCAGAAATACATTCCCATTATTTTTAATTTTAAAAATTTTTAATTTTAATTTTTAAATCCCCAGTATTTTTCAATTACTATTCTTTTGAGACAGGGTCTTGCTAACTTGTCAAGGTTGACCTTGGACTTCTGATCCTCCTGCCTTAGCCTACCCAATAGTTGGCATTTTGGGCATGTGCCACAAGATTTGATTTGAACAGATAATTTTGACATGGCAGAGTGAAGAAGTTGCCACTGAAACCATGTGACCTACAAAGTCTAAAATATTTACTGTCTGCCCAACCCTTGCTCTAGAGTCTTAGAAGAGCAAAAGCTATGAATCTCTCCACTTTTTATGGTACATGGCAGGTTTAGGTACATAATTTGTTGAAATAATTGAAGATTTTAGTTGCCTAGCTATCCATTCTTACCGAGAGGCTCTTTTTGGTAGGGCAGGCTATAAGGGGCTGGGTCAGTTCCCTGCTCATTTCCTCAGAGACTAAGGTAGCACAAAAACAAAAGCCCTAGAGACCACGCACAAGGACTTTGGTGCCTTAAGGTCAGCCAAAGAAGACCTTGACACCATCTCAGCCCTTATGCTCAGTTTCAAGGAAAGAAAAGAGTGAGGTATCCATTAGTACCATAACCCACAGCTATGGTCAACCCCCAGGGAAGGGTGGGAGCATCTCTGGGAGCAGAGGGTCCTCTGCTCTCCTCAGCGAACTTGAGTTGGGATAGACCCTGGAGAGCAGCCATGCAGGAGATGGGAAAGCCTGCCTCAAGAAGGAGCAGGGAGGATGACAAGGCAGGCCCCACAAATGCCACTTCCCAGTTAGCCTAGACATGATGGGACAAAGGGGTCAGGCTGTGTGGTCACAGGTTGTTCCTGTGCAAGCCTGGGGTGTCCAGGCTGTGTATGCACATGCACAAAGAAGAGGCAGACCCTGAGAATCTGCCTGGATTGCTGGGATGAGGTATGGACTTCTGACCCTGATGTCATGAGTTTGGAGGGCCCTCTGCTCAAAACACATTGCACCACACATGTCCTTTTAATCTGGTTTCATCTCTCAGGCCCAGAAGAGAAAACATTCCCCTGTCCCTCCATCATTCCCTCCCAAGGTCCCCAATCAGGTTTCATGGATCCATAGATGGTTACATTTAGTGATGAGCGGGGGTCTTAAGACTTGAGAAAGAGCCAGATTCTAGAAGTCCCAAATCTTGGAGGGCTTCCAGTAGCTGTTCCCGCGCAGCACCAATAAAGGAATTCTCCAGGAAGGCAGGCAAGCCTCCCACTCCATCTCGCAGGGTATATAGAGGCACCCGCACAAGGCCCAGGACCTGTGAAAGCAAGGAGACAGGAGACATTTGGACCCCACATAGCTAATCATGTTACCTGGATTCTTTTTGCAACAGATCTCTCTAGAGCAAAGGTCTTATCTCCCTTAACAACTAGGCAGAACCAGCTCCAAGGCTCATACCTCAGTGAAGTTGAGTGATCCCAACCCTGAGCAGGTGCCTAATCCAAGACATGCTCTCCAGCTCCATAAATGCTAATCTTTCCTACCGCTCTCCCTGAAACCTTTAGTGACTCCAGCCTCTAGGATTCAGGCATAGCTCTATAGCAGAGGTTCTTGAATGTGGAATCTACAGCAGCTGTTTCTGCATCACTTGGGACCTAGTGAAAAATGCAAATTCTCAAGACTTCCTCCAGCCCCACCTCTCACTAGCAATCGAAAGAATGGGATCCAGGAAATCACTGTTTGAGTATATATTTCCAAAGTGAGCATAGTAATCACTGTTTTCATAACTTCTCCCTGTGATTCTGATATGTGCCCAATTTGATAAAATACCTCTGTACGCTATCTGTCTCTATTCGCCTAGCCTTTAGCACCGGCCATATCTTCTAAGAAAAAAAAGGGGCCCAAAATTAAGTGCTTAGGGTACCTCAACTGATCATTTTCACATTATCAATAAGGAACAACGGAGAAACTTGGATGGATGTGCTCTAGAAAGATCTCTGTAGAGGCTGATATGGTGGGGGAAGAGGACAGACCTGCGCGAGAGACTGGTTTGGCAATACTATTCTGATTAGAGATGAGCAAAATCCCAACTACTCCTAGAAACTGCGGAAGATCGCAAGATCTCAAGGGTTATGACTCCTTTCAGGGAGGTTTTCTTTGGGGAAAGAGGGACAGATTGGGTGTGGGGCGGGACCCTGGCTAGCCCCACCTCCAGCCCATGGTCCTTGGCTTGTGGTGCGCCAGCTTCCACAGCCTCCAGCTGCTTTAGGGTCAGGCGCTTGACGTAGAAATGGGCCACCACGCGCGGTCTGGCCCCAGCGTGTGAGCTCCGGTAATCAGTACGCTCCACGCGGAAGGCCGACACCGCTTCACCGAGCTCCTCGCGCAATTCTCGGTTCAGCCCGTCCTCCAGGCTGCTGTCCTGCGCGTCCACAAAGCCGCCTGGGAAGCCCAGGCGTCCATCGAAGCGCATCTGCATCTGAGAGAGGGGAAGTAGGGTTGGCTGAGGTGCCCAAAAGGTGCGCCCCCGGGACGGTGCAGGGCTGGGGCGGGGAGTGGCCAGGCGCACCCCCTCCTCACCAGCACGGCGTACCGCAGCGGGATGCGGCCGAAGAGCATCCCCGGGTCGGGCGCGTAAAGCAGAGCGTGGCAAGCATGCCTCCAGCCGGACCCCAAAGCCAGGGCCTCGGCCAGCTCCACCTTGTGGCCCTCGGCCATGGCTGGAGGATCTCTCTCTCTCTCTCTCTCTTCCTGGTTTGGACAGACGTGGTTTTTCCGGGGGAGGGGTGTCTCATCTCCCACCTATAGGGTCCTGGCTGGGGTGCTAGGGCCAATCCCTGCAGGGCGTATGGGCGGGACCGGCCTGTGTTAGGGCAGGCCTGATGACTGATTCCGGCAGCAGCCAATCAAGGCGGGGCTTTCAGGTAGATCCTGCGGGACTGTTGGGAAACTGAAAGCTTTCTCTCGGTTGGGCATTACACCGAGGTGTGCCTGAAGGGGAATGGGGAACCCTGAAATCCTGGCAAGGCTAGTCAATAGATGCTTACGTCACAGTTTGAATCCCAGGCCTTTCCGGAGAAGTCCCTAGAGCAGCTGGGAAATGCTGCCTTTGTAGCCTGAGCAGGATTTAATGGCCCAGGAGTCCCGACAGTGGGAGGAACAAAGTAGCGTGGTCCGGAGACTACTTGTTGTTTATTCTGGACTATACACAATTCTAGGGGCCTGGGGCTGCGGGTAGGAGGGAAATAGGGCAATCTGGCTTCAGTGCCTATGCTTATCCTTCGGCTGTGGGGAAGGAGAGGTGTATGACAACTATTAGGAATGGATTGAGAGGATTCAGTGTGGGGGGAGTTAGGTTGAGCGTTAGGTTAAGGATTGTGACCTAGGTGATAGTAATGTCGCACCCCCCCCCCTTTTTTTTTTAATCCTAGATGGTAGTGGTAGCACTGGTGGCCAAAGGGACTGGAGGGATCTAGTGTTCAGTACGTGGCACAAGGAAAAGTCACGGGATCCCAAGAGATTTTTCTGCGGAAGGGAAGTGAAAGAAGGTGCTGTGGATCAGACCTGTGGCTAGGAAAGGGAAGTAGGAGTTGTTTGAAGTACAAAAAGCCCCCTAAGCTTCCTGGATTTTACCCACAAACACCCTCAGACCTTTGAGCAGTGAGGGAGGGCGGGAGACAGGAGGCTTACCCTGCCACAGGGCAGGGGCCTCTCCAGGCATGGTGCTGCTGATGGAGGATTCCCAATCCAGCACCCCAGCTAAGTCTTCACCCTGAAGATTGCCCCGATGCCAAAAGTCCTAAGTTTATTACACAAAGGGAATGAGGAGGCTGCTCCTTGAGAGGGCCCTGGGCATAAAGTCACAGCCAGGAAGTGACAGCCCATGGTGAGCCCAGAGCTCTCCCAGAATCAGGCTTGTGACTTAGCAGTCACTTAACTCTCTCAGGTCCCTGGCTGCTCAGCTGTTACATGGAGATGATCCCGACCTATTAGGATGCCGAGTGATGTAAAGATGTAGTCATTCTTGGAGTGGAGGATGGGGGCACAGTGCTGAGTCTTAGGTTAAAGACCCAGGTTTGGAGCTCAGCTGCATTCCTGATTCCTCAGCTCTGCTAAGGGGGATGAGCTGTTCTTGGCATCATCTTTCCTAGCTTGGTCTTCTGAGTAGCAGGGCAACATCTAACATCAGGCAACTGGATGGAGATGATGAGGCCCTAGGTGTGGTACAGTCATCATCCCACTAAGAGTTCTAGGGGAGTGGGAAATGCCCCTGGTTAAACTGTAGGGTCACCTTGCAAAAAGACTATGAAAATTTATAAGAACTTCCAATTCCTGGGTTTCAGTCCAGACCAATTGAATCAAATTCCATAGGGGTGTTGTTAGGGGATGGGTGGTTTTAAAAACATGTTTCGGTTGTCAAACATCCAGGGTCGAGAACCAATACCATCAACTCCTCCTTCCCCTCCCCCTAGCATTACAGGATGATTTCGTTTCTATTCGGAATGGGTTATCTTTAAGAAAGTAGGGTCAAACATTCCCTTTCCAGAGCATTAGCTCATCTTTCTTTGGTTGTTTGAGGCTTGTAAAGATGGATTTAAGTATTTCTAAGGCAATATGAATAACTAAAAAACCAGGAATTAATGACTTTGGAAACTAGAGTTTCCAAAATGAAATTCTTTGTGGCCAAAGGGACTGGAGGGATCTAGTGTTTAGTACGTAGCACATGGAAAAGTCATGGGATGTGAAGATCCTTTTCCAGGATGAATTGATTTAGAAGCACTCAAGATCCCCCCAACCTTGCCAAGACTTTCAAATTGCTGTCTGCCTATGGCCCATCTCCCACTCCCCAACCCCTGTCCCACCATGTTCAGGTAGATTGCCCTGCAGTAAAGGCTGAAAGTAGAGGACAGAGCCATGCCCCAACTTAATAATGGTACTCAAAACCAAAAATTGATTAGTGGTTATACTTGAAAGATACTGCTGAGCCAGTTCATTATTTTAATAATAAAGAAGAATTAAGCATCTCTGCTACTTCTAAAAATATGGACTCTACCTCAAGGTTATCACATAGTTGAACAGGAGAAATTTCCATGATAAAAGTATTTCTTCTAATGAAAGAAGGAGCTAATCGAAAATTTACTATTCTTAAATTTTAAAGAATTTACCATTTTTGAATTTTAGGCAATATTCACCAATGCTTGTTAACATTGCAAAAAATCAACCAGCTATTGCATAGATCATGATGGAAGAAAACACCACCTGCTATGAATAGGCTTAGGTCATATTCCTAAAAGACAGAATCCTGAATGCCATATCCCCCAATGTTAAAATTCTGAAAGATCAAAATCCATAAACTCCCCAACTTTGAAACACCAAAATCCTCAAACTATAACTCTGGAAAAAATAACTAAAATATTCTTTAAGAGACATATATTTACATTTCTAAAAAGGGTTTATTGGAGAAACATAAAAGAACACTTCCTAGGCCACAGAATAGACAATAAAATATTTTTACAAGCATATTCATATATGTTAATATACTATAGTATATTAATAGTTTCATGGGTATAACATTTATGAACAGATGAGCCATATTCACTAAGAAATGGGTCAACAAATTTAAATGTATAAACACATATCACTATGGTTAGTAATTGTGTACACTCAGATTTATAACTAATCATCTGAAACATTGTGACAGTCTTGATGAAGTTCATAAAAACTGCAATGGGTCACCATTGCACTTTGCCCAGCATATGCAGTTACCCAGAGTTGAGATCTCAAAAATTTGTTTCATAAATGAAGATACACACACAGGACATCTCTTTGTTCATTGAGGAGGTTTTGACATTTTTACATAAAATGAACAAAATCAACATTGCTATAATTCACTTTCTGAGAATCAAATTTGCATAAAATGAATGAGAACACTCAAAGTCTTTGCACAATTTATAGCTTCCTTATTGGAATTGATGCAAAGATAAAATGATTTCATAGCCAAGTATAGAGAGAATGCTGACAATTTTAAATGATGAGGAAAAACTACAAAAGAAAATTGACACATGGCAAAGACATATTACAGAGATAAATTATGGGCAATTGCACAGAGGTAATCCGTAAGAACTGACAGACATTCAGGATCATTGTATTTTGAAGTCTTACATCATGATAAATACCTGCTTGCTTTCTTTTAAGGCCTAGCTCTCCTTAGAGAACATATTCACATTCATTTTCTACATGGTGCTCTGTGCTCTTCTTTTTGAAATTCTTTAATGATTTGATATCCACTGACATGATCATTCCCTATAAGTCTTCCCATCTTCCACACTATGTGTCTGTGTTGTTTGGGGAAGGCATTCCACACATCTGTACTCATGTACAGATCACAGATTTGGTGGAACTTACACAGGTGATTGAACAGCATATTGCAGGACTTCTTACCCTACAATGCACACATTATTTTCAAAACAGTAATTTCACTGGTTTTTTCAGGCAAATGCAGCTTTAATTCATTTAAAATTTCTGGAGGCTGGGGATGTATGTAGTTCAGTGCAGCACTTTCCTAGCATGCATAAGGCCCTGGGTTCAATCCCCAGTAAACACACACACACACACACACACACACACACACACACAGTTCCCAGAGTTTCATTAGCTAGAAGGAATGCCAATGCAAACGGAGGAATATTTAAAGTGAAGCTTTCATTGTGGCTGTATTTTATGGTCAATCCATTCATCTGACTTTTCTGCCCAATGCACTGGTCTAAATGGAAAAAACAAGTTTGTTTGGTAATACGTTAGAAATTGATTTTTAGAAGACTTGATTACACCTAATTCAAAGTCTGTCATTATGGTTTGAATTTACAATTCACTTTCTTCTTCAAAGTCCACCAAATCTTCAAATAAACATTTATAAAGTACTTCAGTTTTTCCAAGCATTAGCAACAGATGAACGGATAAACTCTAGAATTTTTACATCCAACAGCAGTGTAAATTGTATATATCTGATTAAAAACAAGGGAGAGAGTTTTGAAAGTGCCATCCATTACCCAAAGTAAATCATGTGCTTATTTTTCTGTTAGATTTAGTGGTAAACGTAAGAAGTCTATCTTCCTCAAGTGTCAAATCTCTAACCAAGAGGAATTCACCAATTTTTAAAATTTGATGTATGTATTGGTACTGGGGATTGAACCCAAGGATGTTTTACCACTGTGCCACATCCCCAGCCCTTTCTATTTTTTATTTTGAGACAGGGTTTCACTAAGTTGATTAGAGCCTAAATAATTGCTTGGGCTGAACTTGCAAACCTCCTGCCTCATCCTCCCAAGCCACTGGCTCCCAAGCCCAGCAACAATGGTTCATCATTTAACAAACACATTTTGTAGTGCTGGAGCAACCTCTATATGAGCAAGTGTCTTCAGAAGTTTGCCAAACTTGTCGAATTTTTATTCTCGGTCAAAGTGCTTTTTTTAAAAACAAGCATGGTGCTATGTGTAAAGGGGCAGAAGTGGTACTCCGTTGAACAATTTGGCAATTATCCTGTGTATACCACGGAAAATGTACAATTGCCTTCCCCAGAATTTGACTTTCTATTGCTCTTATATACCCTTTTTCCATGGGGGATATGGTTTTCAGGATTTCAATGGTTGGGATTATGGTGTTCATTATTGTGTCTTTTAGATTATGATCAGCATCACTACTATTATTAATTATTCTTGCTCTTTCAGTCTTGAGATTGAACTGGTATGAATTCATACCAG